TTTTTTTTTTTTTTTTAAGTTTATTTACTTATTTCTGAGAGAGAGCACAAGCATGCAAGGGGGGAGGGAAGAGAAAGAGAGGGAGAGATAGAATATGAAGCAGGCTTCAGGCTCTGAGCTATCAGCACAGAGCCTGACGTGGGGCTTAAGCCCATGAACAATGAGATCATGACCTGACCCGAAGTTTGACCCTTAACCGACTGAGCCACCCAGGTGCCTCAATGTGTTTTCTTATTATAAAAGCTGCGTCCTTCTTTAACATAACCCAGTGTGCACAGGCATCTATCATTGGCCCTGTGTGTCACTTCTGAGGGATTGGGAAGGGGCATAGGGAACTGACACAAGCAGCATGGTGACACTCAGCAAGGGCTTTTGCTGTGAATCATAAAGTCATTTGTCTCTGATCTAGGAAACTCTTACCTTCTGCCAACATCATGAAAGAGTAGAGTTTGACTTTTTAGCTTGTATGTGAGATAAAATTCCAGACCTTACATACTGACACTGACCTATGGAATAAGGCCAAATCCCTTTATCCCAATATATAAGATCTTCATATTCTGCATCTACATTCCTTTCTTTATCCATCTTATTTTCCATTAAGAATTGTTTTGATATGTTTCTCATGTTCTTTTGAACAAATAATTTGAACTTTAAGTATATTAGTTACTCTAAAAGAAAAAGAACATCTAAATTCCCATATGGATACATGAACTTCTTCCAAAAATGCCTATGAGACTAAATATAAAATATTTTTATAATTTTAACATATTGCCTTAGATATTTTAAAGTATATGAAATACATTCCCAAATTTTAATATTGATCCATTAAATTTCTAAATGTGCAACATGCTAGAGAATAGGCAATGAAACTATCAGTTCATTTAGGTAAAATTATCATCAATAATGCCAAAAAAGGAACCCAAGGAAAATGAAGTTGACTGCGGTCAAAGCAAATGCACTTAACCCAAAATTGTAACAAACATATTAATTGTATGAAGGATCTTAAGGGTTTTTTTAGGGTTCTTTGGTTTTTTTTAGAAAAATAATCTCTCAGCAGTACTCAGTTTTTTTCTCCTCCTTAGACCAACCTAACTTTTTGAGTTACCTCAAAAACTTTTTAGCGCCTAAATTATTTTTCTTACAGTGGCCAACTGTCCAGTAACATGTTGCTATACAAGGGAAGAACATTTATTTTTGTGAATACGTAGCACAGTATCATGAAACCACACAAAACCTAGAGCCCAGAGACTACAATTTAAGTTCCCTAAGTTCCCTCTCCACTTTTGTCAGTCATTTCAATTCAGAAAGTGACACTTTTCTAATCTCTAAAACAAGACAATAATAATAATACATTCAATCTTATATCACTGGGTTGCAGGGTAAATTAAATTATTAAATAAGAAAGGAATTTTTAAGTTGTACATGTTCTAATTGCAATTAGTATATATAATTCACCAAGAATCAGAAAAATTAAAATTCAACTGCATACAACATATGAGATTGAGTCTCCTCAATCACCTGAATTTACTAGGTAAAAAGTAAGTGTTGTTGTCTGGTGTTGGTCTTTATTATTACCATGCAAGGATGTACATTAAATAGAGATTAGAGAAATAAAGTGACTAATGTTAACTATTTAGCCACTGTGTATCAGGCTTTCCGCTGGGGTCTTTACATGTGATGCTTTATCAACCAGCAGAGACAAATGTTATGAGGTAGGTAGGTATTTGCTGGAACTTACAAATGCAGAAACTGAGCCCACAAGTGGTTAAGTGATGTTCCCAGGGTCACACAGCTCTGTCTGTCTCCGGTGTACAAGTGTTTTCTACTGCAGGACATTTTCCTGAGATGTTGGGATCTGTCCTTCAGGATGTACAATGTGGCTTCCTTTATCTTGAAGCTCAAATCTTCAAGATGTACCATTGTTAGTGTAAAAAGAGCTTTATTCATCCTTAACATAATAGAGATAGAGGGACTTTTAAATCAAAGTGCACCACTACCAGGATTACACTAAAACTCAAAATTCAGAGCTGAATATAATTTCTGAACACCTAAGAGGACAACTCTTCAGCCAAAATACAGCTGTATCTAGCGAATATGTAAAAGCTCAAAGTTACTATGGCATATGAAAGAAGAGAAGAAAAAGTGTCCATTATTTTGCTTGTAAGCCTGGGTTTCTGGGGAGCATCATGGCATGTGACACAGAAACCAGAACTTTCTGTACCCCGCTATATTTCTCAATGAAAGGCAATCTGGGCTGTACCAGCTTTCCAAAAATATCGGGTGTGTTGGCGTTCTAAGATTCCTTAAGCTGAAATTTGGATGAAAATTTTTTTCCTTATAAAATTTGTCTCATGACTACCAGGAGAAGTTTGAAATTTAATCCAAAAATACAATTTGGCTTTTAATCACTTAAAGGATACGAGAAAAAAATTCATAATTTTGGCACAAAGCAATGTTCTTAAAAAACAAAGACGACTTCAAGTCTTCATTTTTCTTTTCCAAATGGTTAAAAAATCTGTTAGCTTCTGTCTTCTCTAAAAGATAAAACTAGTAATTTATTTATTTTATTATCTCTTGTACACTCAGAAAAGAGAATAAATCTTAGCATTTGCTCCCGATCTGAAACTCATATATATGTAATGCTTTTATTTATTTAGTAATTATTCACAGTCTAATAATGTTATCAACAAGGTTAATGTCCAAACATTAAAAATAGACACTATAACCTTTTCATAAAAATATTTATGGCCGGGCACCTGGGTGGCTCACTCCGTTAAGCATCTGACTCTTGATTTCAGCTCAGGTCCTGATTTCATGGTTTGTGAGTTCCAGCCCCCCACTGGGTTCTGTGCTGACAGTGGGGAACCTGCTTGGGATTCTTTCTCTCTGCCCCTTGCCTGCTTGTGCTCATACTCACTCTCTCACTCTCAAAAATAAATAAATAGGACCTTAGAAAAAATGTAGCCAATTACAAGTCAATAAAAGGCTCAGAAGATTCAGGTACTTTCACCAGGCATAAAATTTATTGGTTTCACTGCAGTGACTTCAAAATAAAGGTTATCACTTATCATTTATTGAATGTAATCCTGGAGATGACCCTGAAAGTTAATAGTCTTTAATATATTCTAATTTTTGGTCTTGACCTTTTACTACTGAGGTATAAAGGTGCAAAATTACCAGTTAGATCTTATGCTTCCTTTATCAAAGACAGAAGGCAAGGTT